GCTGGGGGGCGGGCCGGGGGGCGGCCAAAGGCACGTGAGGTGAGAATCTGTCGGAGCGGCCCGGCCTGGGCCCGCCTGGCTCCATGGGCGCCACATTGGGGTAATATAATTATTATAAAGACGGCCGTTTTGTTGTCCGAGGAGCCATCCTTCACTTCCGCCCGAACCTGGCGCGCCGCCGCCGCCGGTGGTGTTGCACGGTGCACCGGGAGGACCCGCTCGTGATCACCGGCGACTCGAATCGACACCTCTGGCCGGGGGTGTTTGCCGACTGTTTTGCAGCCCCCTTCCCCCTCTACAGCCCCACCGGGAGGAAAGTTGATACCTTTATAACCCCGGGGGTGATCGCCGGTGTGTTTACAGCCGGCCCGGCTCGGCTCTGCGTCGGATCGGCTGCGCACGGCCCCCGGTGGTCGGGGTGCTCGGCTCGTCTGCTTTTCTTTATGGGTCCGGATGGGGCTGGTGCAGGTGCAGGTAGGCGCCGTGGGCTTGGCGGCCCCGGGGCGTCGTCGGGCCCCTTTTAGCACCTCTATCTGCCCCCGCGCTGACTCATCCCTCCCCCGGCCCCTCCGCCTCCCCGCCCCTGCCCGCAGCACCGGCGGCGCTAGGGGTGCGCTATGGGAGTCGCTGACCCCGCAGCTCCACCACTTTCTGGGAATGCCATCGCCTCTTCTCTTTACCGGGCGCCGCTTTCCCACGAGTCGCTGTCGCCGGCGCCTCCGGTTGGCAGCGCGGCAGCCTCGCGGGTCCGCCCGCCGCCGCCAGGGTAGGCCGTCCCACTGACTCCCCCGCGGCGCGCTGCCTACCTCGCGGGCGCCCTGCCCCGCGCTCCCTGCGCATCCCCTGCGCCGTCTGTCGCCCACCATAACACTTGCCGTTTTGTTCCAGAAGAGGGTTCAAGCCAGCCAACCAGGAGACCGCCTTCGTGCTGGCTGCCACCTCCGCCGGCGTGGTGCACGCCGTGACCAGGTCGTGCTCCGCGGGCAACCTCCCGGACTGCGGCTGCCGCATGCCCGGCTCCTCGTCCGCCCTGGGTGACGGAGACAGCGAAGAGCCCAGCCTGAGCGACCTGAAGACTGCGCAGCAGGTGCTCACAAACAACCCATCCGGAGCGCGGCGCGCGGGCTCCACGTCGGACCAGGATGGCGACAAGAACGACGTCAACAGTCGTGGTGTCGGTGAGTTCCCGTCTCTTCGTCCTACGTCCTGACGTTTTGTGGAGAAAGCTAGCGCTCTCCCCACACGGTGCTCAATGACTCTCTAACGACCCCCCTGTTCTCGCGATTGCAGGCAAAAAGAAGTGGGTGTGGTCCGGCTGCAGCGACCACGTGGCCTACGGCGAGTCCGTCGCCGCCAAGTTCCTGGACTCTCTCGTGCGGAAGGGCAACGATGCCTGGGCCTACACTTCGCTGCACAACAACCGCGCCGGCCGACTGGTAAGTCCGTCATTGACCTACGTGTGACGCGGACGTGCGGCTCTGCTGCCACACGGCCTCGAGCACCTCTTACATGCAACACGATTCGGAGAGCGACGCTAACGATGTTTTTCCTCTTCCAGGCGGTTCGCGACTCACTGCAGAAGCACTGCAAGTGCCACGGGGTGTCCGGGTCCTGCTCGCTGCAGACGTGCTGGATGGCGGTGCCGAGCTTCTCGCGCGTGGCGTCCGCGCTCCGGAGGCAGTACGACCACGCCGTGCGCATCGACTTCGAGGCCGGGCACGGTAAGCTCGTGCTGGGCAACTCTGCGTCCGGGCTGGTGCAGCGCAGCGCCCCCGCCGTGCCGCCGGAGAAGCTCGTCTTCTTGGAGGAGTCGCCCGACTACTGCAAAGTCAACAACACCACAGGTGCGTCTCCCGACTTGTAATTTTGATTTTCTAGAAACGTAATTTAGGATAACTTTTCAATGCCTTCTTTTTGTTTAATTGTTTTCCTTCTGAAAAGTTCCTGTTTTTCCTTTTTTTAAATTTTTTTTTCAATATTTTCACTTTTTTGATGGGGAAATTTTCAATTTTCTCCGAAAAATTTTGGACTTAAAAATTTCTACTCCGTAATTCTCGGAGAAGCAGCACCTGCGCTCCTCAGCCCGACGGGAACCTAATCTCACTCTGCTCTGCTTTCAGGTTGGACGGGCACCAAGGGCCGCACCTGCTCGCGCAACCGCGGCGAGGGCGTGGGCCGGTCGGAGCGGCGCTCGTGCAAGGAGCTGTGCCGGGCGTGCGGCCACCGCGTGCGCAGGCAGACGCGACAGGTCAGCCGCCACTGCCAGTGCAGCTTCCAGTGGTGCTGCCAGGTCAAGTGCAAGACGTGCGTGGAGACCGTCAAGGAGCACTTCTGCGGCTAGCGGGGAGACGCGCGCGCCGGCGCGCGCACCCCGCATACCCGCGACTACAGCACGCGTCGGCCCAGGTCTGTGTCCATGGGAGACCTGCGCGGACGGCGTCGTCAGGGGGGCGTTGACGGCCTGCAGGATGTTAGCGACTCGATGACAACGTCCGCCAGGTCTGCGCTACAGCGGACCCGGGGAGGACACCGTCTGTCGTGTCGCGACCGACAGGGATTGCAGCTGCGCATCGCGTTTGGCGACAACCACCCTCCGGTGGCCTCGATATTCTAGTCTCTTTGCTCTCTCGCTACACCTCTTCCCCATGACTGCTGAGGCGCCTAGCACGCGCTCCAAGGGGAAGGGAAAAGTCATCCGTCTGAATCCCACGATCAAGATGAGATTTTGTTTACACCGATTGACATAGGATAAGGCTTTCAACGACATGCATTCCAATCTTAGTTTTATCCTTTATTATAATTTATAATCTATTTATTTGACAGCATTGAATTAATGGTTTACGCCCAATTAGTGACCATTTGTTGTGTTAATGGACCTTTGGAAGTCTATTTTCAGAACTTCACTTGATCTCGAATCTCGTATGTTTTATTTAGATTTATTTTAATGATTACAATTGATACATGGATTTGCCTCCCTCGAGAGGCTGTGGTTTTATTTATTATGTATTACTAGACTGACACCTAGGAATGTAGTGTCTTTGTCAGATAGTACAATCAAGATACCAAATCAGTATTTTATATAGTGATATGTGTTGTTATTATATACGTATTGTATATAAATATTTCTGTATATTGACATTTTGTTAATTTATAAATAATTTTTATCTGTGTAATTGCTCAATTTTGATGGAAGAATGTAAATACACATAATTCTCAATGTAAATACCATGTATTTCTTCTACCAGTCAATTTAGTATACATGCCACACACTTAGATTTTCTACATGGACCTGGGGATTTATTTTAAACCAAGCACGTGCTTAGCCTTTGACACACTTGTTTGGTCAGATGAGTTAGAATAATGTGAGTATCCCCAATCGCCCGGGCGGAACTCCCTGCTTTCTCGCAGCGTTGAAAAGACGGCGCCTGATGGGTAGGCATCCCATTTCACTCCCGAATCCCCACAACCCGTTTTTCGAGGCAGCAAAAAAATGAAGTAGGGCCGTGACAACCCCACAGAACACGTGGATTTACCTCCTGCCTATTGATATAAAATTAAAGCAGCCAAACGTTTTGGAAATACAAAAGTGAGGTATGCGATTAACCTGTGTCCGTGAACTCCTTTCTGCGACCTAGACAGTTTTTCCAGCGTAGTCTTTCTGCTGTTGCCCACTCTTTTGCCAGTCGCAAAACTGTCAGTTCTATCAGTTTGTAGCGCCCAATGCACATTGTGGATTTTTACTAATCAGATCACAAAACTATAGAATAAGTCAGACCTTGGCCTTTAGTCCCTTGTCCTTCCCTTCTAAATTCATGAAACTTCTTAAACTATTTAAAAAGCAACGTTGAAACAAAAAGAAGAAAAAAATGATTCTGGGTCCATCCATTATTTTAGTCAAACTTAATATAGGTTTATTAGCTTTGCATGTATGAGTAGTGTAAATTGAGTTCTCTGCTTATGGTTTGACTCTCCAGCGACTCTATCTGCCTAGTTCTGGATTAATACTAACTCACGAATGATTCTATCCCATTGATATTTTCCTGTAAGCTTTTAAAAGAAAGCCAATTGTGTTATGTAATGGTACTATTTCTTTTTATTTGTCTATAAGTCCAAGTGTGCTTTAATGCCCATGGTATGGAGTTTTAAAACTTCAAATGAAATTTCCTGCAGGCATTTCAAGTAGCATATATATACCTCAGGTGCATATTGGGTTGGAGACATGTCAAATGTCAACACAGTGGCAAATGGCCCCAGTAATCACGAAACACTCACTTTTAGTCATTTGACTGTCAAAGTGAGTCTCTCCCTGCCTAAGTTTTGACTAGTTTTCACATTGAGTCCCACGTGACCACACATATAGTCACAAAGCACGTGATTAATGACCCTCTGGGACTCAACGTGTTAGTCAAGTTTCACTTTGCCAGTCAAAAACAGTCACATGACCAAAAGTTAGTGTTTCGTATTTATTGGGGCCTACAGTGGCCCGTGGGCTTTCCAGATTAAAAGTATACACCCCTATGTAACAATAAATCACAAAAAGGTAATGTTCTTAGCATCCATTTAAATCATACTAAACAAATAATACACATTTACAAAATATAATATACATCTTTATTCATCAAGAACGGACGCTCTGGTGCGTGGTAAGCTCTATTGGAAATTGAGCGGGTTACTGAATAATAAATAAATAACTACCATGAGCTGGTTTCTACATCACTGCATTGCATTGAAGGTAATGGTCCTCTACATTACAAATGTTATTTTAATTTTCCAGGACTTGGAGTTTTACTTATTAAAATCCAATTTAAGTGTCAAAAAATGAAGCAATTGCCCTCATGAATAAGAAAAACCATTACTGCAATGTAAAAGATTCTGTTTTTGAGATTCAAGGTATTCCTGTCCATGTCTAGAGCTGACACATAATTTCTGATCATGAGAATGCTAGCTGTTAGCACCATTCTTCTAAAAACATTTCTAACTATATTTGTATCACCACCTTACTTCAAGTTTAATTTAGAGGAAACAAGATCAATTAAGTTGCAAACTTCATCAGTTTGATCCCTGCTTACTTTCCATCATATGGTGACAACAGCAGAAACGTGTGTTGGTTTTTTTTTTTTCGTCTAAAATACACTTAAAATAAAAGGAACTTTTTAAATTTGTCATGTAATTACACTCAAGCAGTTGGAAAGTCATATGCTTTATATAAACAACAAATGCTTACTATCAAATACTGAAAATTAAAAGGCAAAAAAAGTAGTGTTCCAGTATGGGTTACCCAAAATTTAAACTGTAGAACAGTATGGGTATTTTCTGGACTGGGGTAAAGTGCACTATTACAATATGGTAACATGAGTAAAATAGGCGGCTTGATACTGATATTACACAATGAGAGAACTTAATTCCATAGAATCTATGACACTACTCAAGGCGCAGAGACTTGTCACAAATGAGTTGCAAAATGTTGTCCATAAATTTTCTGTTCATCTTAAACTTGTCACAATAACACACTGAATAGTGGTTGTAGTTTTTTTTCCACAAAAGAATTTTGATCAAATGTCAAGTAAATCTGAACGCTCTAAAGAAATTCATTTTTGCCATTCTAAAGATTGTCAATAAAACATAAATTTGCGACTACTGTGACAAGTTTGGCTGTGACAAATATCTTCCTTTTCTTCCTATCTTTTGATGCCAGTATAGCAAACTATCTGAAGACATACCATACAATTGTAATCAGGAGATCAAATTTGCAGTCATTGGTAAATAAATGATGTTAAAAAACATTTCTTGTGCATAAGCATGATTAAATGACTCCTATCTTACTCAATTAGCATGCATTGTCTCAAAACTGTCTAATTTTAAAACCCACAGTATGGGAAAATTGTGATGCAAAGATAACAGAAATACCTTTTCAATAACTTCATTTGTTTGTTTTTCTTGTTTGAAAGAAAACTTTTGTACAGATAGGTCTTTTCAAAGATTACAGTCAAAACATTTTATAATAAGAATACGAACACCCTGGCCATGAAAAAAGTTCAAAGGCCGTTGTTGTACAGTATAAGAATAACAAATTTACTAAGTTCAATGCTCAAAATTATTCCTCTAAATAAATAAAAAATATCAATCTGTCAAAAATTTCTAAGCACATACAAATTTTTGCATTAATATCACGGCTACAAAAGACATAAGTCTATGTATATAATTTTTACACTTCATAAAAAAATGTCATACACATAATATCACATGACTACAGGGTCATCCAGTAAAACATGATTAGATAAGGCAATACACAATTATTGTTTCAGCAGGTTCCGAGGAGCCTACTGCAAGCTACAAAATACAGTGATAATCAAACAAAAATTGCCTCACATGGAATCATTCCCTTCAACAACAAAAATTAACAAGTATGATATAGTATTTTACCAATTATACAGAGCCAACACAACATAGACAAAACACTGCACAGCCAAATTCCCATACTATCAAAGAATTTCCTTCAATTGAACATCTACCTGTGCATAAGACACTGTAGACACTGAATATTTGGTGAAAATGAAAGTTGACGAAACTAACATTAAAAACTGAGCAAAATTTCTACGTTATTGTACATGTCATGGAATATAAAATGCTGCCTATGTATTGATTCTAGTAAGAGCTCAAGTTCCTTAACATAAAACAAGGGAAACTATGAACACAAAATGAATTTTGTGCTAAGTAGGAAACTCGTTCTTAACCAAACCACGGTAGTTCTTCAAAATCTGTTCCTGCTTTTATCTCAGAGTAATGGAGAAGTGTGTGTATAGGGTGATGGAGGGTTTTCCGTGGCGATAAAAGGTACATTTAAAACGCCCGCGCGCTCACTGTGAAGTAGTTACTAACCGCCCACAGATGGCAGCACAGATGGCGCCGCCATAACCTCACGCACTCCTCCACCGTCACAGGACTTGCAAGTTTTTAGGAGGATCTGTTAAGTAAACTCATTAAAATGCTTCGGTAGCGACTCTAAACATGTTAATAAAACAGTTTCATTAACATCTCATAAGTTCAAAGATGCATGCATCATCCATTTTCGTTGCTTAACTACGTTTTTCAACACGCTCAAAATAAGCTCTGGTCTGGGACTTAGAATGAAAACACGCAAAATTTGTTAAGAGTGCTCAAAATTATACTATTAAACCTGAAAAAAGGTTCATTGCTTTAATTGAGACCAGCGTTCCCGCTTTACAGTGGTACTATTGTCATGTGTGTAGGTGTTGTGTGTTCTGAGATGAAAACAGGAACAGAAAAAGGGTTACACAGCACTGAGAACAATACTCGTTCTTCCTACCAACGAGAAGGGAAAGTGGGTTGGTAAAGAACGAGTAAAAAACAACAATTATTTGCCTCTTGCTTAATTTTAAGCATGTGTCAGTGCAGTTATTTCATTGAGAAATACAATATAAAACATTTCTCTAAATATATTTTTCACTTACAATAGTCCTGCACTAGGCACCCATCATCCATCACTCATCATGTTACAAATGATAAATACGTGTATTGGTACTCACCCAAGTTGCCATCAATGACATTTAAATAATGTGCCGGCAGCAAAATATGTTTGTCGCCATTTGTCAGCAAGGTACATTATCAGCAAAGCTTTTTTGAAAAACAATTTAAAACTCAGTCACACAGGATGAGTTTTTTTGTCATATAAAGGATGACGGATCATGGATAACACACTGGGTTCCTAGTGCAGGACCGTCTTCTGCTTAACTCCATAGTCATGACTTGCTCTATGTGTGTTGGTGAACTCTACTTCAATGGACTAGTAGTGACGCATCATATTGAATCCAGCGCACCTCCCGTTAGCTTAGTCGCATATAAACTCAAGGCCTGAAAAGGAGAGAGAAACAAATTAGAATTGAAAAACACAAAGAAACTGAAACCTTTGCTTGTGCGGTCAGGCTTCTCGTATGCCACGCACCTTGTAGATGAACATGTACTGCTCCTTGGTCTGCACGCAGCCCGCTCGGTCCTTCCGAAGGCGGTACACGGTGCGGGGGATGTCCACCTGCCGGGTCGTCTCAAACTCCCTGATGCACAGGTCGATGGCGAGCACGGTGCCAGTGCGGCCGGTGCCCGGGCTGCAGTGCACGATGTGCGGCGCTGCACGTGGTGCCTGGCGCGCCCCCGGCGCCGCCCCCGCAGCCGTCGCCGAGGAGCTCGGGTTCCGCATGAAGGCGCGCGCCTCGATGAGGAAGGCGATGATGGTGCTGGGGTCGTCCGGGACGCCTCTGCTCGGCCAGCCCATGTACCACATGTGCGTGGCCTCCCGCCACAAGTTGGTCTCCATGTTCTGCAGACAGGGGGAAATAATTGGTATTCGTGCTCGGCGATCATCCGAAAGTAGTCATCAAAGCAAAAACCCGTCAAAAACCCTACCTTGAGTTGGATGCTCGATACAACGTATTTGTCCTTTACTTCGCGCTTTTTCAGTGTGACCTGGAAGTCACCGAAGAGTCTGTGGCAGTCCGTCACTTCGGACGGTGGAAGGTAGTCGGCGCATTTTTCCTGCGGGGGAAGACCAACATTACAACTGGAACAACGGCTCCAGGACCAACGGATCCACGACAGAGTGACGCTTAACTCACCACGCCATCCTCTACGAGGTCGGTCAGCATGAGGATGACCTTGGCCTGCGTCTCCCACACCATCCGCCAGAAGTCGTGGACGGTGGAGGCGAGCGGCGCCTGGCAGGCGATGTAGAACTTGTCGGCGTTCTTGGGCCCGCGCACGTAGTTCGCGTTGATGTACTGGGACAGCGGGTCGCCGTCCTTGCAGCTCAGCGTCACCCGGGTCTCGGGCAGTGGGATCACGTTGGCGTAGCGGTTGCGCGTGTCGGCGCCGTCGGGCAGCTCGTCGGCCTTGGGCGCCACCTGGGGGATGGCGCTGAACTCGACCTCGACGCTGCCGCGGTCGCTGCTCATGCTGGACAGCGCGGGGAAGGCGAGCGGGTGCGACGGGGCGGCCTGCGGGGGGGAAAGGACAGCGGTCAGCAAAGCGGTCAGATCAGCGGTCAGCAGCGTCAGCAGGGCCCAACACAAGCAGGCGATATACTGACCGGGTCGGTGAAGGCGGGGTTGCCGTACGAGCGCTTGGAGGCGCGCGCGCCCGCGCCGGCGCCCTTCCTGCGCACGCTGCTGCTGTTGCACACCGACACGCTGTCGAGGCTGTACGCGTCCAGCGACACGGGCGTGCACCGCTGCGCGTACCGCAGGCTCTTCTGCCGCTTGCGCATGATGAGCTGCGGGAGGAACGGTACGGGGTGTAGCAGCGTGACGTGACGGAGAACGGCGCAGCGCCAGAAGGGGTACAAAAAATAATAATAATAACAGCAACTCGACGGCACTCACCAGCAGAGCAGCCAGCACGAGCAGGCAGGCGGCCGCGACGCACGAGATGGCGATGGCGGCGATAACGCCCGCGCCGCCGCCCTGGCCGGAGGAGCCGCCGTCGGCGCCGCCCAGCGGCAGCACCAGGTCCACCTTGCGGATCTGCGGGGGCAGAAGTCAGGGGGCGCGTCAAGTTAGAGGAGACTCATTCCTGAGAGGAAACAGAGCGGCGGAGGACAGAATGTCATACACTCACCGGGTACTCGAGCCCGCGGCATCCCCAGAAGCGGAGGAAGTCCTCCGTCAGGTTCCGGCTGAAGTGCAGGCTCGCGTCCGCGATGTACATCTGGATTGAGATCATGTTGGCGATGGGGTTGTTGCTGGCGCTGGGCATCTCCGTGGTGGTCGTCTCCTCGGCACGAGCCTCGTCGGCCGCCTCGGAGCAGTGCGTCGGCCCCACATTCAGCAGCACGACCTGGGACGGCTTGACGTTCCTAGAGAAGGGAACAAAATGCACGAGTCCTGACCGTTTTCTTTGGCTTCCAAATAGGAAATAAATGACAGCCAGCGCGAGTGTGTGGCTTACATGGAGGTGCCGTTGCTCATGAGTGCAGCCGCGGCCTGCCTGAAGGCCTCGACCTCCTGACAGAACTGCGCCCAGTCCGTCTCCATCAGCAGGCGGAGGTACGCGGGCACGGCCTCCGGGATCGGGACCGGCTCCGGCTCCGGGGCCGCGGGCTCCGGGGCGGGCTCTGGCACGGTCTCCTCCGGGAGAGCTGCAAGCAGAGAAGGGTTAGCGACCCGGGGGTTGGCGTGAGCTGCAGGCGTGCTACAGACTGTGACGTGAAGTGGTGTTCCAAATCGAGGACCGAGGCGTCCCGATGCCAACACCGGTTCTGGCGGGTCTCACGAGGCACCGGGACGACCACGAGCCTCGTCGCGGGGTGGCGCACAGCGAGGGGGCGTGGGTGGCGTTAGGGGCCAGCTGGTCCCCGAGAGTTAGCGAGAGTTAGGCTACGGTCCGACTCGGTCGTGGGCGAGCGGGGGGTGACTTACGAGTTTCACCGTCGTCCTCACTGCTGGGCACCGTTTCCTCCACCGGAACGTCCATGTCCGGCATGGGCGTCGGCGTCGTGGACGGCATTGCAGAGGGCGCCGTCGGAGGTGCCACGGTCGGGGGTGCGGACGTTCCTGGAGAAAGCGGCGGTACGGGCACCGCCGTGGTCGTGATCATTCCAGCTTCAGTCGGAGAAGAAGAGGAAGAGGATGGTTCTGGCGTCGGCGTTGAGAACGTCGGCGTCGTGGCGGGTGCTGTTGGCGGGGACGTGGGTGGCGGCGGCGCCGTGCGGGTCGTCGGCATGGGCGGCGCCGCTGTCACTGGCGTCGCCGGAATCGTGGGCTCAGCGGTGGACGGGGAGGAGGCGGCAGTCGTGTTGTCCACCAGGACGTCACCGGCGGTGACCTCCCCGGCTGGTGGCTCCTCAGTTTGGCGAGTCGGGGTTGGAGTTGTGAGGGGAGGTGGCCTCGTCGAAGAAGAGTCTAAGACGTCGTCGTCTGGGTCCAGGGTGGGCGAGACCTGCGTGGTGGTGGGCGGGTGACGCGACGAGGCCGTGCCTGATGGTACGGGGACCCCCGGCAGGATTTCATCCTGTTCCCGGACGTCTTCCTCGGCTTCCTCGGGTGAGAGGGTAGACACCGCTATCTCCTCTCCGGGGAACGACGTGGGGGCGGGCGAGGAGGCCATGTCCTCGTCCTGGTCCGGCGAGCTCACGACACCAGGACCCTGGCTGGGGCTCGCACTGGGCGCACTGGGTGCGCTAGGGGCGCTCGGCTGGCTGGGTCCGCTGACCGTGCCCGGGGCGGTGTCCGGGGCAGAGCCCGTGGCAGTGCCGGAGGCCGAACCAGACGCGCTAGGAGAGTTGGCGGACGGCGCGAACGTGAAGTACTCCACCATGGACGGGCCGGGGGTGGGCACGGCGGGCTGCACCTCGGGCTGCACGGGCCGCCACAGGTCCGGCCGGCGGCTGGTGGTGGTCGCGGCCGCGGCCGTGCTGGTTGGAGCAGCGGGTGCTGCGGGAGCGGGGCCGACTGGCGGCGTCGCCAGGTCCGGCGGGTCCACGACGTGGATGTTGGGCGCGTTTGTAGTGGCCCCTTCATCTTCATCGTCGTCCTCCTCATCCGGTGCGTGCACCGCGTTGTGCGAGATGTGCGCCGGGGTGGGCGGCGTGGACGTTGGCCTGCCGCGGGGCTTGGCCGGCTCCACCTCCACGATGACCTCCTCGGGCTGCAGCGGCTGCACCACCAGGTTCTCCCCCGTGCTGTTGGCGGCAGCGCTCAAGGCCGGAGAGTCGGGCGCGGCGGGGACGATAGGCCGCGCGGGGGACTGTGGCGGCCTGCCCGTCGAGAACACGCTCTCCAGCGGCAGGTGCGGCTCGGCGTCCAGCATCATGTTGCTGCTGGGCTTCTTGTCGGTCTGCAGACCCTCTTGTTGGGGCTCCTTGTTGAGCAGCAGTTCGAGGCCCGGCGCGGGGGTGTTGGCCAGGACGGTGTGCACGGCGTGGGCGTGAGCGGGGGTCACGTCTGCGGAGAGAAAGAAAGCGCGCGCGAGCGACGGGCGCGGGTTAGTTACATACAGCACCGCCACCGTGGCACAGCAGCACATCAAGCAGGCAACAAGGGGGCCCCCCTGGTGGGGGGGCTAGACGACGAGGGTACGGCCCCATCGTTAATGTGAAAATGATTAGCAGAACAACACAGGTTGGGCGGTTGGGCACAAAAAATAAGGTGAGAAGTAGCAGCAGGACGACGACCGCTTCGCGGAAACGCGTCCTGTGTGTTATACTAAGGGCAGCGGGTGTTACGGCGCGGAACTAGAGCGCAAATACAACGTGACGGTGGCTGGGCGCGCGCAGCGCGCGTGTAGTACACTACAGTGGAGCGCTCTGTGCCGGAGGAAGAGGATTGGGATGGAGCTTGCCTGGCAGGGTGGAGACCTCGATGACGATGGGCGGCAAGGCCGTGGTGAACGGCAGCCCCTCAGGCAGGACGGCACTTGGAGGCCTCTCATGGGCTGCGGACTCGACCTTCGGCATGGGCGCCAGGCCCTTCATGGACGCCAGCGTCCACGCCGAGGCCGTCTCGGGCACACGCATGTCCTCGTCCAGGCTTCGGGTGGGCGTCGGGCCGGTGCTCGTGGACGTGGAGGTCGTCGTCGCACTACCACCAACGCCGTACCTCACCGACCCGCGGCGAACAAGCGGCCTGCGGGGAAAGGTGCGATCAGTAAAGAATAAAACATATTCGCTAAGGGGTGAATAGTGTACTTCCGCAACCGCTCACCTGTGCGTGGTGGTGCCAGGGGCGTCCCAGGTGGTCTCCCTGTGCTTGATCCTCCTGGGCGGCTCCGTGGTGCTGTCCGCCCGCTCAGGATGGCGCCACCGCAGCGTGGACAGCCTGCTGCGCTGCAGCGGCGACACGCTGCTCAGCTCCATCATCTCCCCGGGCTCGCCCCGGCGTGGCGGCAGCGGCTCCGGAGGCTGCTCGGCCCGCGGCGCGCTCGCGGCCGCCGTCGGTGGCGCGGGCGCTGGGGTGGCCGCGGTCTGCACCCCGGGGGGCTCCGTGGTCACGAGTCCGTTGTCCTCCACGGCCGCCGGCTTCCAGTCCGCGTCTTTGGTCGGGGGCGGCGCCGCGGGCGCCGGACCGACGGGAGCAGGCGGCGGAGGCGACGCCGTCGTCGTGGCGTTGGGCTTGGCGCCGCGACGCACCGAGAGGCGCACCCGCGGCCGCTTGGTGACGCCGCCGGCACCGACCTCCGTCCCTTCGTCAGCATCCTCGCTCTCAGGCACTCGGTGAGGCCTAGGCCGGGCGGCAACCGCGTTGGCTTCCTGCTCGGCGCTCACGAGCCGAGGGCCGCGTTCAGCTGCCAGGCGGTCAGCGGCTCGCCGTCTCCCTGCAGGTCGACAAGATCGTAAGTACATAAAGGTTCATAAGTGCCGATCGCAGGGGCCATTTGAACAAGTCGGCTTACCCGTGGCCGCGGACTGCGGCGTTGTACTGTGGCTGTCACCAGGTGCACCGGTAGGGGGCTGGGCGGCCTGCGCCGAGGGCAGCACGGGTGGGCCGCCGTTCTTGTCCTTCTGCTCCACTTGCGGGGGCGGTCCCTGCGCCCCGGACACCAGCTCGTTGAGGGCGGGCTTGGCGAGGTCGCCCGCCGCCGAGCCCGCCCCCGCCTCTGGCGCCTCCCATGGCGCGGCCGGCCCCTGCTCCGGGGGCGCGGCCCCAGGGGGCGCGGGGGCGGGCGGCGGGGGCGGCGACGCGGCCTGTGCGCAGGCGAGGAGGCACGTCGCCACCAGCAGCAGACCTGCGAAAACAAACGAGGAACAACGTCAAATCTCCGGACACGCGGCCCATAAGGCAAAGGCAGGTGTGATCAAATGGGAGCCAGACACATGCTGCCGTCAAAAAATGGGGAGAAGGGGGTGGCGTAGTAGCGCGTAAAATAAAGTGTGGGAAATCCCGCGCGCTGGAAATCAACACCACCGAGTCACGAGTGTGGCTTGCAGCGCGACGCGGTGCGGCGGCGGGCGGGGCGGGGCACACCACACACCACCGCTCCGCCGTGTGTAGTAAAGTGGATGCGAGTTGCATCACGGCGACAAGACGAACACTGCAGCAGATCGACTGGGGAGAGAAAACCGATACCAGAAAGAGGCGGGGAGAACCGGGAGAACGCCGCCGCCGCGGCTGCAGCAGCACGCCGCGTCGCGCAAGCGGCAATCAGGCTAGTTGTAGTGAGCGAATCAAAAGCACCGCCGCCGATTCGCGAATCGCTCTTCCGTTTACACACGCGAGTACGTACTCGCCCATACAGAAACCAGGCCCGTCCGCATCCACCGCCAGCCCGGTAGTACGTCGAAACAGACGGGACGCAGTACGATACGCGGGGAGCACACACCCAGAAAAGTGGATTCTTGATTTGAGTTCCGGTGCTTGACAAGTTGAGGACAGGTACTTGTTTTGAGAATATTTTACTCAATTTGATCTGAAGAAATTCTTAAACCAAGTCCTGGGCCTTAACTTGTCAAGTACCGTACTCAAATCAAGTATCCACCTTTTTGGGTGCACAACATACAGCGACTGCAAACGAACAACAACAGCCTCAGTCAGTAACCGTAACGAGAAGCCGACGCATTTCGAAAGTGGACGAATCCGCGTGCTGAAATGCAGCCAAGTTCCTGAGCGGGCGCAGCGCTGGCTGCTTGGGCTCTGCGCGTGGGTTATGCCCCGGTCAGGCCGGCAAGAGAGTGAAGAAAGGGTCCCTCGCGTGGGGATCGTGTCGGAGGTGGAGATTTTGCAATTGCGGCACACGGTCGTACTTTGGGAAAATATACATCCAGGCGCTTGCTTAGCAAGCAAAATGAACAGCAGGAAACGTTTGAAGTGGCGATGTGTTTCTTTTTGCGGTGTTTAAACTATACCTAGTCCCCGCTGCACCCTGCATAGGAGCCCCGCGCACTCGCAGATGAGGGCATGCAGATAAGCCCCCCACCTGCGCACACTAGATCAGGTGTGAGGTGGCGGGGCGGGGCGAGGCGGGGCGGGGCGGTGCGGGGCGGGGCGGGCGGCTCTTCATTATGCACGACAGCCTGCACAGCGCCGCAGCCACCGCGCTCGGACCGCGCCAAACGAGTTTCAAAACTTCCCGCTCGCGGCGGCGCCCCGCCACCGCGGCCCTTGCTCCGCCCCGCCCCGCCCGCGTCGGAGGTCTCTAAAGTCTCCAGTTCCTGCATTAATTCTAATTACCCCCACTTCCTCAGGATAAAGAATAAAATCAAGAGGGCACCTGACTAAGTCCTCGTGCAGCTGCGCCGCTGGCGCGCGGCGGCGGCACTTTCTCGCAACAGCTGCCGTTTGCTGCAGCTGCCGCACCTGCCGCCTCTGCCGCGGAGAGTCAGCGCCGAGTGACTCATGACTCGCTGATCACAATAACAGCGCCGGCGCCGCGCGCGCGTCGATCGGGGACTTATTTCAGATTTCCCTTCTCTTCTTTGGTCTTCCTCCCCTCCCCTCCTCTCCATCCAGGCCCACAGACCAGACCTGCTGCTCCAAGTCCAGAGTGAATCTGGAGAGAAAGGCCCCGCCCCGCGATGCATGCTGCACTCGGACGGCACGCGCGTTTCGGCGAGCTCGGCGAAACCGAAAGCCATTTTCTGCGCGAAGCAGCAGCAGCAGCAGCAGCAGCAGCAGTGGCAGGGGCGGCTAGATGGCTAGATGGATGGACGTACTGACGGACGTGGATGAAAGTCTTGCCCATTAGCCCGGCCAGCCCGGCCCGGCGGCATCGCGGATCCACCGAGCGTTACAGCTCCGCTCCGCCCCGCCCCACCCCGCCCCGCCTCTCGCGGGTTGATTTTCGACGTGTTTACCCTCGTCTGCCCGGCGCGGCCACCAGCAGTATCCGCCCCCATTCCTCATTTTCACTGTTCCGATGAGGTTTCACTCGCGGATTCGCGGGTCGTCTTCCTCTCTAATTGCAGAAAGTCGGGGCGTGGCGTGTCGGGGCGGGGCACAGCAGGGTGGGGCTGAGGCAGAGGTGACGGCCTGTAGGCCAAATACGACTGCATTTGGAAAACCGCGTGACGCCTTAACAAAGAAACATTATGTACGCAAATAACACTAATATATGACTGATCGTCTTGAGTAGCTTCACCTGGGGACGAAGTACTAGAATTTTTATTTCGCTCAAAAATCTCTAAGAAATGGCACTGTCCCAGAACATTTTTGGGGTGTTTCAAGGTTGCAAGCCAGGAGTTTAGTTCAGTAAAGAACATAAGAACATGGCAGGGAGACAGACCGACAAAAAGTGCAAGCATAGCGGAATGCAGGCGCGACTGAGCTGCTCGGCGCGGAGCGCTGGGGTCGCTGGTCAGTCGCAGTTTCAGTTCAGTCGCGACGAGGCAGCCATAGCCCCCGCAGCCATGGCGAGCAGGGACTATTGAGCAGCGCAACTCTCAGCGAGCATCGCGTACTGGAAGATTCAGGTATGCATCGAAAATAGTATTCTTCAGCGCATGTTTGGAAATTTCCAACAAAAAGCTACGCTGTACCGGGTGTAACTAAATGTGCAGTAGTTTTGCGGGATTGCATACTCAATATGGCCGCAGTGGCCATAAAGAGTATGCAAACCCACAAACAACACTGCTGCGTGCAGCGTATTTACAAACCCGGTATACAAACAATTTTCGCTACCGTGAAAATTTTTGTCGGTGATATTATAAATGAAAACTGCAAACTTCGAGCATGCTCAGGGAAGAGCAGAACGACAAAATTGTACATAAACATTTAAAGAGTGCCGTCCAGTGTTGCGGGTTTGCCTACTCCCGCCCAGAAGGTGCCATGGCCCCACTTCTGCCCAAGAGCATGAGCAAACCTGCAACACTGGGGCGTCCACCCTCACCTGGCACACCAAATTTAGACAAAGTTTATTTTGGTCAGATATAAAGAATGGTTTTCGATTATCAACACTTCTTTCTGTCTTTCCAGACCACTGCGATTTTCGAATGCGTCGCATCGTGCTAGTTAAGTGCCAACATTGAAAAGAAGGTGCCATTTTGCCACGACTTTCACAATGCACAAGATAAAACAATCAAGTAAGTGCATCGAAGGCAACAATTCACTGCCCCCAACAGACCAACTGAAAAAATACCAAGAAACGTACAAGAACGAAGAAGACAAAGAAACGTTCGACTGCCCTGCGTGTTACAAGACCTTTCCCAGCCCGGCAAATCTAGAAGTGCATATGCGAAAGCACACTTTAGAGAAGCCATTCGAATGCATCATATGCAAGAAGACATTCGCCAAATCAACATACATGAAGAGACATCTCATAACCCACAGAGAAGAAAAGCCATTCGAGTGCACAGTGTGTTACAAAACTTTTGCTGAGTCAAAG